ATCATCACGTTCCAGCCGATGATGCTGACAACAGTCACAATGTTGTCCAAAACCCAATTGCCACCTCTCCCAGTCATCCGCCTGCTGCCCAAGTAACCACGTCACCTCCTTATCCTCCTTCAGCCTCTGCTGATACGGCCGAGGCTGCTGCTGTTGCCGCGGCAAGGCGAGAGAAGGGTCGTGTCAGATTCAACAGTAATGCAACGGCCTCAAAACCGCCCGTCATCAACTTCGAACCTCCTCCACGAGTACCCGAGCGCTCGGCTACGCCTTCTCCTAAGCTAAGGCCATCAATTCTGCGAGCAAATTCGTCAGGATCCGTAGCAACAGCTGAGGATCTGGGGATCAATTTGGACGCTACTTCGGAAAAGGCTATTTCGGCCGCCGTTGCTCAAGCACGAGCTCAGCAAGTTGCCGCCAAGGTTTTGCGCGACTCTCCGCCTGGATCCAGAGCTTCCATGGACTCTCTAGCTACGACAGCTGCCAGCGATGGCGGTCTTCTTCCCAGTGATTCTCACATTCCTCTACGTAACTTGGCGGCTGATGGCACAGCTGTAGACAGTCAGCCACAAACTCCCGAAAACGAAACTGACGAGGCTGCGTTGAAGGAAGAGGCATACGACCTTGTCAGAACCCACACTCGCCGTTTTGCCTCGGCTACAGCAAACACTCTCCCCGCAGATGAAGAGGTCATTGTCAGCTCAGCAAACGTCCAGCCTAGCCACGTGAACGGTGGACTGTATGATGGCGTGTACAACGTTCCTCCACCAAAGCGATATCGAGGAAGCGTGCTCTCACAGCTCTTGAAGCTGTACAAGCCAACCGAGCCCAGCTTGCACGGAGCGCATTCCCGAAATTGGAGCTCCTCCTCCCCAGGTGCCGTTACGCCCCCGAGTCTGGAATCTGGCACAGCTACACCCACCAGCTCCCGCAAGAAATGGTACGAGGTGAATCGGTCGCAGGACACGTTGGCAAACCTTGTGGAAGCTTCCACACGCCTCGCCAATCCAAACAAACAAGCCCCGGAGCCGAAAAGTCCGGGGAAGAAGCGTCCTGGCGCCAAACGAAGAACCAGCAGCAATCGACTAAGCGGCTTCTGGCAGAAGGAAGAGGCCCGGATTACTGTACATATTGCTGAAACGCTGTCCCGCCAAGGATATATCATCAAATTGTGTCGAGCACTCATGCTTTTTGGTGCACCCACTCACCGTCTGGAAGAATATCTCACCATGACGGCACGCGTACTCGAAATCGACGGCCAGTTCCTATATCTGCCCGGCTGTATGCTTATCTCATTTGACGATAGATCAACCCACACAACTGAAGTCCGCATCGTCCGTATCACCCAAGGTATTGACTTGGGAAAATTAAAAGACGTACATCACATCTACAAGGAGGTCATGCACGATGTCATCGGTGTGGAAGAGGGTACCCGTCGACTGGATGAGCTCTTGAAAGCCAAGGACAAGTTTCGAGCATGGATCCGAGTCCTCGTGTTTGGATTGACGAGTGCAACGTGTGCCCCGTTTTCATTTTCCGCTCGACTTATTGACTTGCCATTGGCCTTTTGCTTTGGCTGTCTGGTTGGGTTGTTGCAGTTGATTGTGACACCGAAATCAAACATGTACAATAATGTGTTTGAGGTGACGGCCACCATTGTGGTTAGTTTTCTGGCTCGAGCATTTGGAAGTATCAATGAGGGAAATTTGTTCTGCTTCTCGGCCTTGGCTCAGAGCGGAATTGTTATGCTTCTCCCCGGATACTCGGTCTGTAAGTTGGCCCAAAGTTGACCCTCACCTCCCTACTACCTCGCATCGATCCATCTCCCAAGGATGGTGGATGTGGTCGTCCATTTAGAATGAGTAATTTTCTTTCTTCGATATTGAGCTCATGCTAATCTTTCTTGCAGTGTGTTCTGCTCTGGAGCTTCAGTCCCGCGCTATTGTCCCCGGATCGATTCGCATAGTGTATGCCATCATTTACTCCCTCCTCCTTGGCTTTGGCATAACGGTTGGTGCTGCTCTGTATGGCCTCTTTGATAACAATGCGACATCGGCAACCACGTGTCAAAGTCCCATGCCGTCGGTCTACACCTTTATTTTCGTACCGTTTTTTATACTGTGTATCAGTATTCTTTATCAAGCTAAATGGCGGCAAATGCCAGTCATGGTCTTGATTGCGTTTACGGGTTACATTGTCAACTTCTTCAGCAGCATCAAGTTCGTGGCCAGTCCTCAAATAGCCAACACATTGGGTGCCTTGTCTGTGGGCATTCTTGCCAATCTATACTCTCGCTTGCGCCACGGCGTAGCCGCTGCCACTCTCATTCCCGCAATCTTCGTGCAAGTACCAGGGGGTCTGGCATCAACTGGAGGTTTGCTGAGTGGTTTGAGTACAGCCAATCAGCTCACCAACTCATCAACTGTGATCAATGGTACGAGCACGGTAAGATTCATCCAAGGCGAGTCAATGAACACCGTCGTGTTTAATGTTGCTGCCTCGATGATTCAGATTGCGATTGGCATTGCGGTGGGATTGTTCATGAGCGCAGTCGTTATCTATCCGTTGGGAAAGAGACGAAGCGGCCTGTTTAGCTTTTAATGTTGTTCATTCTGGTCCATCATCTTGTATAATAAGGGGTATGTCTGGATATGTATTCATTTCATGGCGATTTGATTCGAAGCGATTCATAGCGAGGGGTGTGAATTTTCTAGTATGTAATTTTTGGCGTAGATACTTTGGGGCGGTAAAAAATAAATGTCTTGGTCTGGTATTGATGTCGCTGTGCTCGGTGCAATACCAGATCTTGTTGATGTCGCCTGGACCAAGTCTGTCTGTAGCCACAACCAGTACCGAGATGTCAGGCTGGGGATTGGCGCTGCGGGCCGCCAATTAGCTCCCGCCTATTCCCGCGCGCCATTATTTTCAATGCTTTGCAACTTGAATGATTGCTGCAATTGCCCATGTTTGAGCAGCCGTTGACCTGGCTGCATGGTACCCAGGGTAGGTATTAGCTGATATGTATAGACACCTTGCTGCGACTGAGGCGCCTTGCTTGCCGCCGAGGCTAGAGGTCATTCAACGTTGCGCCACTGACTACAGACGACGTCTAGATTTGATGCCTCTGGCACTTGCTGCTGCAAACATGACGTTCCTCCACGTACTCAGAAGTGCACTTCGCAAGTGCTTAGATGAGGTTGAGCAGATTTGGTAAGCCAAGCCAGGGGTGGTGGCAGTGACACGATGCTGATCCAGCGTCGCGGCGCCGCAAAGAATTGTATCGAGGCAGAAAAAGTGTCCAACTAGGTGATCCAACGAGCCGCTGGAGAAGGCCTTCCGGGCTCGAGAGCACAATATGCGCCCCCTTGGCCTCATTGACCTCGTTCAGGAACAATACCTGTCACCACCCATGTCGGTCTGTCCGGTTACAACATCATCATCTGCCGCATCTACAGCCGGCCCCTGTCCGCACTTGATCGCAAGTACTAGTATTGTGATCCATGATCTTTCCAATGTAGTAGTTGTAGCCGTCGAGGTTGCCTAGTCTTCCTTGAACTAAAGCGGGAGCCCTGCAAGGCGTGCGAAAACGCACTTCACTTGGCGTGCTCTAACAACATGGCGCTGGACATGGCTTGCATGCCGAAGCGCAGCACGTCGTCTTAGTTGAAGTCGAGGCAACCCTTGCTGGGCTTTTGATAGTTGCCACCCTGGCTCGGCAGACTGATGAAACGCTAATAACTAATGGCCGCAGAGGAACCAAGTAATCCTCATTGGCTGGACGTCTGGTGACTCCTTGTCGATGGACACACCACGCACACACCCACACCCTCGGCTGTACTCCAAGCAGGTATACAGAAGACGGAATACATGGCACATACGCCGCATTTGCCCAAGCTTGGAGTCTGGGCCGCCGCCATGGCCACCGCCCTCATTGTCGTTGTTCACATCGTCGTCGTCGTCGTCGTCGTCTCCCCCCCGTCGTGAACAAACACAGCCAGCAGCCAGCACCGTCGCAGTGGTAGTGTAGCTGTACCGGCGGCAGGGCAGCAATATCCGCTACCACACAACATCATCTGCTCGCCAAGTCGAGCACAGAGTACCCCGTCGCACTTCTGCCATACGTGCTGTTGGTTGTAGTACTCGCTGTGCTTCCCGTATTGTCTTGTAATCTTACTCCGTACCTTGACCCGACCGAGACCTTTTCTCCCCCACAGCCTCCCAACCGCCATCCAACACTGGAGCCGCCGACACTACACCATCAAGGCACGGGTCGTCCCCGCTCCAGTCCCAAGTCCAGATGTCCACAATTCAGGCTCTACGGTGTACATACAATGAACGGGCTTGCGCTCTGCTTGCTTGCTACCTTGTCAACTTGTTACTTCGCTACCCTGGCGGCCTGGCTTCTCTGAGCCTGCCATCCCGCCTTGGGTGGGGTCTCTAGTTGTCTTGTCCTGTGTTCTGCGCAAGGCATCTTGCTCGTCGAGACCTACTCCGTACTGCTTTGAATGTCCTGTCCCGCACAATTCTTTGTTTGCCGTGGCCCCGCTGGCTGTGAATTCACGAGTCTGATCTCCTTTGCTCTTTCCTCTCTTTTCTTTCTTGTTGTGTTTTCCGCCTGTTGTCTGAAGCGCACGCGCTGCTGAACCGGTTGCCGCCTTGCCTCTAGGCCGAACTGTCGTCAACCTCAGTCGCACTCCGTAGAATGCTCAGAGACATCACACTGCACTGAGCACTGGTTCATAGCCCCACCTTCCCACCACCGACCGACCTCATTTTGCTTCCTGCATCGGCTGCTTGTATCTGCGTCGTTTGCTCACGGCTTGTCACCCACGACGAGATATACCTTTGCCCTCTCCAAACGAAGCGCTTCCCCTTGCTTTTAATAGAAGTCGTCGCCACTAGCAAGCTGAGCGGGGCACGCATGAGCTCTCACATTCCGCCCCTCTGCGAACATCCGTCCACCATATTCACACCGGCCAAGAAGAAAACCCTGGGTGAAAATGGCCGGAATATTTAAAAAGGTTTACGACTGGCTTCTGCGCACATTTTGGTAAGTCAAGGCTACCCAGAAATCTCACGCAGTCTCCCACGACGTAAGGCGGATTCGGCCATCTTGACCCACTTGCAACTTGCGAGACCATGCCAGAAACTGTTCGATACAGGTGCTGATAAGGCTGTTCTAGGGCGATGGAGATGGAGGTTACGCTCGTTGGTTTGCAGAATGCCGGCAAAACGTCGTTGTTGAGAGTTCTCGCCGTAAGTTGACGGGCCGGCAATTCCCTGGAGCAGTAGCTGACAGAATGCGTGGCAGGGTGGTGAATTTACTCTCGAGTAAGCAAGCCTTTTCCTTGCCCATGGTCTCTCGAAGTCCGAAATTTTCGTTAAATCGAACATCAAAATTTCCATCTCGGGAATTCGACGAGACGAAACATGACTGACCGCATAATCTTACTCAGTTCGATACCGACCGTCGGCTTTAATATGAAACGCGTACAACAGGGCCATGTGACTCTGAAATGTTGGGATATTGGCGGTCAGCCAAGGTTTCGAACTATGTGGGAGAGATATTGTCGCGGCGTCAATGCTATCGTCTTTATCGTAGACATCGCAGACGTAGATCTCATTCCGCAGGCTAAGGATGAGCTGCATTCCCTCATGAGCTATCCAACATTAGCTGGAATTCCCCTTCTGGTGCTTGGCAACAAGTCTGATTTGCCTCAGAAACTTTCCGTCGATGAACTGATTGACGAATTGGATCTGAAGCTGATTCAAGGAAGAGAAGTCTGTTGCTATGGTATCAGTGCCAAAGAAGAAACTAACCTCGATGCTGTGGTTCAGTTTCTTGTGAAATGGGCCAGCCGATGAATTGCCCATACCATGATGCGTACGAACGTCCGGCGCTGAAATGATCCTCTGACGACGATTGACGACGATGACAGATTGCGGTACAGCATCGTACCCCTATGCTTTTCCAAGTAATGCCATTTGTTGTGTTCCGCTGGTGGAAGGAGAAGCGTGGGTGTTCGCGCCGCCCACTGCTTCCGAGGCTATCCAACCATCTTCTTTTTAACGATTTGGCGATATAAATTTCTTCTTCTCTCACGAATTCACGAACACAGGTTGCCGGGTAGTAGTTAATTATTGGCGATCCGGTTGCTGCTTGGTTTACGTTTTCTTGTTCTTTGATTCCTGCTTTTCCATTGAATTGGGGGCATAGCGAACATTGCCGAGCGGGAGTAGAACAGGGTCTGGGGCTTGGGCCACAAGGCATACAGATACTTGCCCAATATGTGGATTTTTGTTTTCTATTCCTCTTAACTTCTCATTGTCCATATGTCCAGCTTATCCCTTTGAAGCGTATTAATTGCTGCGTGAGGCATTGTATGTATAGCACAGATAAGACGTATCAGGACTTTGGATGAAAAGAAGCGAGGTGCTCTGCATTTGGCAAGTAGCGGCCCTCCGGGTGATGGCAAGAGAGGTGGTTCGTGTTGCTAGGTGACGTACGAATGCTGCCAGGCCCGAATCAGCCTTTTTCCAGGTTGAGCCTAAGCAAATCCGGAAGAGTCGTCGCGTAGGTCCATTGTGAGTCGACCATAAGTTCGATGGCAGCGATGTGGTTCATGTGAAGGAGAACAGCCCTACTCATGGCGCGGCAGGCACTGAAGAGTTAAGCTCTGATGACTCGCAGCGAAGAAAGCGACCAAGTGGGTTTGGGGGAAGAAAAACTGGCCAGCCTGGGAGAAGGGGAAATGAAGAGAAAGAAATACAAGATAGACGTAGGACACCCTTAGAGCTCGGCGGAAAGGGAGGACACAACGAACGACGACTTAACGGCACCTTATTACTGGCTGCATGGTGCTGTGTTGTCGCTGCACACGGGCCACTTTGATGCGTTGGCCAACTCATCATTGCAGCTTGCCCGCAAGCACGCTGCTGGTCCTGAGGCATGTAGCTGCGTGTTCCCTGTCATCCCAACAGGCTCACCCTGCTCACAATTTTCTTTCTTTTTCTCTTATCCCCTTCCTTTTCTTTCTCGTCTGTTGGAACCCCCAATTCTTACCCGCAGCCCTCTCCTTGTGCTGGCTAATTTGCCCTGCAGGGGAAACAGTGGTTGAATTCGTGAGAGTTGCAGAATATCAAAGCCACGCGACGACCAAGGCTGACCCAAGGCGCTCGGCTGACGCCGCTGGGTCACCTCCATAATACCATTTCAGCTGAAGCTTCGTAGTGCGCAACTGTGTCACCTGTAAAGAGTCTGGCCCGTGTTAGTTTTTAGCACCCGAACTCATCCACGCTGGATTCTGTGTACTCGATAACTTGGCCCATCCAACAGAGTGGCGGTGGATGGGGTGGCAGTGGGTGCAACAGTTTGCGATGGCGGAGGCAAGAGTGCATGCCGTTTGCGAATCCAGTTTATGGAGTACAATGCTGCCGAGGATATCGTAGAGGCTCAATGGCTTGAATCCAACATGTTGCTACGACCTGAACCTGGTCATGGTCAAGTACGCTCGCCGTCGTGACAGCATTGGCTGGTCTCAAGACGGTGGCTGGTTGTGTTTCGCTGTCGCATGCTAGGTAAGACAGCAATAATCGGTGGTGATAATGCCAAAAAGGGCCATGATTCATTCTGGATAAGACGGAAGGGTTGTCCAAAGATGATTTCAAAGTGAATCGCCAAATCTACTACATTTGCCAACTCTTGTGAGGTCTGCAAGCCCAGAGGCAAAGGGCGCACGACAGTGCCCCAAGGCGGGATCAAGGTGGTTCTTGCCTTATGTACGTGTGTACATATTTCAAAGAGGAAGGAACTGATTAAACTGTCCAAATACCTAGGTACTTCGAAGCACGGGCAAAGGGGTCAATGTGAATCCGCCAGAAAGATTAGAATCATGCTCATATCATAGGTATTCGGCTTTTCTTTATCTTCTTCAATATTCCTGACCTTTGTTTAATACTAGTAATTATCTGGGAGCCTTTGACGACGGGGTCCATTTCCCACTTTCTCGTGCTGTGTGCCCATGACAACCTTCAAACGCTCTTTCACCTCTATCAGTAAATAGCCGTGCTAGTCCCAATGCGTCGCCCCCACAATCAAACCAATCTAACGTGGGAGATGCGAGACTCTGGTTGAGGCAAACAGACACTTCGCTACGGTTTCACCATTAAATCGTGAATCCTGTCCTCAAACCTTGAACCCGTTTATCCGCCTACGTCACTCTTCCAGATGATTCCAAGTACGCGAACAGCACGAACAACACAGACTACGCCCTGTCATTGACAGGCTCCATCGCTGGGTGGGGGGATCGGGGAACGGCAGGCAGACAAACGTCTGCTCTAGTTCTGCTCACCTGGGCAGGGAGGAGGGGGAGTCGACAGAATTAAACAATGAGGCATCGATCCTACCTTCAGCTCCATCAAGCTACTATAAATTGGACATCAACCAGCCTCCGAATAATTTCACACTCCCCAACTTTGCCGCAGCGGACCAGGTTCATATCATCTTCAGCAGCCAGAATGAGCAACAGCAACACCATGGCAGGATTTGAGGGGGAACATAACGCATGGATTGGTGCTAAGGGCCCCGCCGCATTTGACTTGAGAAGTAAGAGGTGACAGCACTTGGTATATCAAGACCGCGACTGCGATTGGTATTCCGACGAGGCAATTGCTAACGCAAGAGTATTCAGGCGATGTAATGACAACACCAACACCGTCTATGCTTGCTGCCATCCAGTCATGTACATTGAGAGATGACGTCTTTCGAGAAGACAAGACCACAATGGAACTTGAAGCTCACGTTGCTGCGTTGTCGGGCAAGGAAGCCGGACTGTTCGTCCTATCAGGAACCATGGGCAATCAACTCGCCCTTAGGAGTCTTCTGGCTCAGCCACCATACTCCGTTCTATGCGATCATCGCTCGCATATTATTCAATACGAAGCCGGTGGGTAAGTAACCATCTCACACATCTCGTCTTTCTGTTTCACGGTTGCACCATGCTAATCTTGGTCACGATCCTCGCAGTGTGTCAACGCTTACTGGTGCTACCGTGATGACAGTAGTTCCAAAAAACGGTGTCCACTTGACCCTTGAAGATATCAAGAAGAATGTTGTGCTCAGCGATGATGTGCATGCGTGTCCAACGCGAGTGATTAGTCTGGAGAATACTCTTAATGGCATGATTATGCCTCTGTCCGAGGTCAAGCGAATCTCCGATTTTGCAAGACAACATGGAATTAAAATGCACTGCGACGGCGCTCGCTTGTGGGAGGCTGTGGCAGCTGGTGCTGGCTCGTTGCCCGAGTTCTGTGCTCACTTTGACACAATTAGCTTGTGTTTCTCCAAGGGCCTTGGAGCACCGGTTGGAAGCCTTCTCGTTGGTTCCCAAGAGACTCTTAAGCACTCTCGGTGGGTTCGCAAATCCATTGGTGGTGGTATGAGGCAACCTGGATTTATCACGGCTTGTGCTAGAGTTGCCGTAGACGAAACGTTTGGCAAGAAGGCTGACGGCAGTGATGGTTGGCTCAAGGCGTCACACGATATGGCCAAGAAGGTTGAGGCCTTGTGGAGTGGCATGGGTGGCAAACTCGTTCATCCGGTGCACACAAACATGTGCTGGATTGATCTCGACTCGGCCAAGTGTAGCGACGACCGCTTCATCGAGCTGAGCCGGACTGCTGGTCTCACCGTATCCGGGGGCCGACTGGTGACGCATTACCAGATTGCTCAAAACGGAGACGATATTCTGCGAAGGCTAGGCGATGTTTTTCAGAAGGTGTTTGCAGAGCCGGAGGAAGTCTCATCAGGGGCAGGAGTCAAGAGTATGTACGAGAAGGCATAGCGGCCCCAGGACGATCAATCTGAGTGCTCTCCTTTTAGCTTCTGCCGTCTTTTCTCCTATGGTTCAAACGGGGGGTTTGCTTACTTTACTACTTTTGTATTCAACTGCACCTCAGCAAATATAAGACATTTACAGGATCGATTTATCCGATACGTACTCTATGTACCGTGGGCGTTGCCCGGGTCGTGAGAGGCGAAGTGAGGGCAAAAGTGATGATGTGATGATACATCATTCCTATCCACGACCCGCGCGTATTGCTCCTTCCGTGTGTACAACTTATGGTTCGCCTTCCCTGCTTTCGCATTCAGACACGTGCTGTTGGCTACAGAATCGAGCTCTTGCCTTTCCCCCTCTACTAGCGAATACGATTCCTTTCCACACGCACGTCATGTTTTCCTCTCCAATTTAGCTGCTTTGTCGCATCCTGTCATCTTACTGCCGATCCTTTTCAGAGATGACATATTCGAGAGTCTATTTCTGCAGAGCCTCTACAAAAAGAACGTCTTGCGGTCTTTTATACTCTCCCCTAAGCACTGGACTGTTTTTCATCCCGGCTCTCCTAAGACCCGGCATCTGACCAACACGTCACATCTAGAACGAAGCAGAAGCTCGCCGACAGCAGGCACGATAGCGACACTCGTTGCGGTGGCCGCATTCTCACTGATTCAAAATGCCACGTCACTATTTTCGGGGCATGGTGCCGTGGTTTGTACTGGGCTTTTTTATCTCAACTGCCATTTCGCAATCATACAATTTTGGCACGAACACATCCAAACTTACCCGGCGAGATGACTCCAAAGGGCCAGTTGTTATTGGCCGCCTACCGATTCCGGCAAACAGCACAACTCCTTTACGTTTAGAAATACGGCAATTGAGAGACAATAAATACGCATGGGATCTTTATATTCTTGCCCTGAGCATGTTTCAGTACGCCGACCAAGACGATCCCCTATCATGGTATCAAATTGCTGGCAAGTCTTTTGAAAAACACCATATATATGCCGTGGATCTTGCTGATGGATAATTCTAGGCATTCATGGCGTTCCATTTACAACATGGAACGGGGTCGAGCCTCTCCCTGGGACTGATCAGTCTGGTTATTGCACCCATAGCTCGGTATTATTTCCCATGTGGCATCGACCGTACCTGGCCCTATTCGAGGTAAGACTTGGGTCCCAAACCCAGAGGCCCAGCAAGGTATCACGGCACATTGACGCTTTCAATTAGCAACAAATGCATAAGATGGTCAATGCAATTGCCTTCATGTTTACGAATGCCACAGAACGGCGGCTATACCAGCGAGCAGCTTCCACCTTTAGAACTCCATACTGGGACTGGTCTCTACCAGCACCAAGTGGCGAGACCCATCTTCCTGATGTCTTCTGGAGCCCTATTATACTGCAATATGGTCCTAATGGCTTGCAAAATATTCGGAACCCTTTATATTCATACGAATTTCACCCGCTGGATAAAGAAGCTATGATATGGAACCCAGCAAGTAAAACTCCATGGCAACTGAGGTTTTCTAACTAACTACCAAACAGTTAAAGCAATGGAACGAAACGAAACGCGCCCCAAATACCACACTCAGTCTCACTTCACCACCGTCAAATAATGAGGAAGTAAATAAGGCTTTGTTGTCCAAGCTACCAGAACTTCAACAAAGGCTATACATTCTATTTTCCAGCTACCACGAATTCAACTCATTCAGCAACAAAGCCTGGGCTGTTTCCCAAGGACTTTCCGCGTTGGACTCCATCGAGTCTGTTCACGACGTTATTCATATGTATGGAGGTTCCAAGGGTCACTTGACCTATGTCCCTCTTTCTTCATTTGATCCCCTCTTCTTTCTGCATCACACCATGACTGACCGATTGATAACCATGTGGCAAATACTAAACCCGTCATCTTGGATTACTCCCATGTCTGCAGGAGAAACTAGCTTTACTGCTTTGAAAGGGACCATGCAATCATCTGAGTCGGCTCTGACTCCCTTCTTTGCTACAGATGACGGAAAGTTCTGGAACTCAGATATGGCCAGGACTACAATTGCATTCGGATATTCTTATGCTGACACCATCACGAAAACGGGATATAATGAAGACCTACGTGAGGCACTAGTCAAGAAGATAAACATTTGGTACGGTTCTTCTAGCCCTGTCGGGCTAATGGAGAAAAAAGCTGGCTCCAGATGGAGCAGTCCTAAAACAAAGAAGCCGGCGAATAATGGTCATGGACGGTCTAGCTTCAGACCCAACATCAAGTATGACGCAGAAGATCCCCACGCCTCGAGCATCTTCAGGGGAAATCACTACACCGAATGGGTCGCAAATGTCGAAGTCAATGTCGAAGCTCTAGATGGCTCATTCGTCGTCCACTTCTTCTTCGGCCCACCACCACAGGACGAAGACAACTGGCACCTGGCGCCAAATCTTGCAGGCACGGTGGCCATTTTCACCATGAACCGAATGACGGGGTCCGAATCCAAAATATCTGGGGCGATACCCTTGACGTCGGCAATTATAAAGATGGTGGCAGCAGGAGAGGTTAACGACTTGACGCCGCAAGAGGTTCAACCATTTCTTGCAGATATTCTCTACTTTGCCGTACAATCCAGCAACAACTCCCAGGTCGATCCCAGGCAAGTGGATGGGCTCAATATTTTAGTCGCAAGTTCAAATGTCAAGATACCCAGGACACAGTCCGAGCTACCAGAATGGGGCTCGTCTGTAACCAGGCTGAGACTCTGGCCCTTCAACAGCCCGAATTAGTGTCCTAGTTACTCGTGGTCATTGGGGGGGGACGGGCACCCTCGCGCAACTATTACGATTTTAGAATTGTCATATGTTTTTACTTTCTATCAGATTAGAAGAAAAGAAAGGACTTTATTTCAAGTGTTTATTATTTTATTTCGATGACAAATGATAGTACAAGCATGGCACAAGTATCATGCAAGCATAATATGTAAAAATAATACACCGTCTACGCATTAGATATTGACGCTAACAAAATTAGTCATTTGTCGCGGCACGCTAACTAAAGCTATCTCACGATAGCCTTAACCACCAAGTTGGTGAAAGTAAACTTGAACCTCTGTACAATATTACAACTGTCTGGTGTGTATTGATCCGCCATGTGGGATCAATGATGCCAGATACAAGTCACAGCAGTACATATTGTGAGCAGTACGAGCCCTAATGTACGCCCACCCCACCTACGCATCCAGCTGAAATGGCATAATATAAAGTATGTAGTACCAGCTGACGTACTTTACGTATGCCAGTAACTCACTTTAAAAACTTGAAATGGCCACACACAACGTATATACACGAGGTCTGCCCTCGTCCGCATTTCACAAAAGTCCATCTCGCTCTCCAAGTCGTAAGGTGGTTTAGGGCAACCCCGCACACTGTGAACAATGTCACGTGGGGAGAGGGTTTCCCTACCATATCCTCCGCACTACGCACAGCGAGGAAAAAGACAAGTTTTAGCTCTTACAATACACTCAACCTACCTTGGCCACCTGGCTTCTATCTTCTCTTTTCGTCTTACACTTGCTGACATGGGCCACAGAAGCTAAACCTCACAACCACATGACTGCACCCAAACGTGGCAAGAAGCCCAACACAAGTAAGTAGCCTGTGGCAAGCTTCAGCGATCAAAGCGAACGAGGCCAAAAGGGCAAAAAAGATGCCACAGCCGACATTAACAGGGATGCTCTATATAACAAAATAATGGCACCTCTTGAAGCAAGGAAGTCTGATTCCAGGGAAAGCAGGGGTTGGTTAGTTCCCCGGAATCAGGATTTTTGGCTTTTAGGGCTTCCGTTGTTTTGTTATAGGGGGCATCCTTAATTAAGTAATGCCTGGCCCTTTATAGTAAAAAAAAGGCCAGTTCAAAGGGAAAGTTCTGATTTTGGGAAGGAAATCAAGATGATGAATTAACAAGGCCATTAAAGGTGTGGAAAAGCAAGCGGACATGTTTTTTATATCTCGAAAGGACTAGACCTTTATTTAACATAATTTAACACATGATTTTCATGTTGACCGGATCGCCTTTCCCTCGCTTCTCACAAACTCGTTTCAGACAAGTTGCAACAGATTCGGGCCGTGCCAAAAGTTGTCTCCGATTCTTGTATAAAACATACACAATAGGATCAACTGGAAAGGAATGACAGCGGATAGTGTGCCAAGTCGTACAGGGGATGTGATTTGGCTTTGTGACAAGGGCTAAAGGCTTGGAGCATCACGACTCAATTTATCTAATAGCAGTCCTTGGCATCAAAGGTCCTTGGTCTTCCTCAAGGCCTAGTTGACCAAAGAGCTCTTTCGATACAACAAGTCGGTGGGAGTCTTCTGCCCTAGGTCCCGTGATTGTAGCCCTCGTGTAACCCCGGATGACGGGCCTGTACGTACGTGCTGACGCATATGTCACGGCCCAAGAAGCCGAGATTTGCTGACAGCCATGACGGCTGAAACATCTATGTAGGGTACAGTTTCTAAGAATAGCTACTACTTGAGTCCTACCGAGACAATGTGGGCTCGGAAGCGGTTTGTTTGTCTCTCTGGCCGGATATGAGACCGACAGCCCGGGTCTGCCCAGGAAACTACCGCCCCTCTCAAGTTTGCGACATGCAGCGGCGCGGAGGGTAAGGACGGACTAACTGCGTCGGGGGAACAGGAACTGGTCAAAATCTCGGAGCGCATTCAACATTGGTTGGACGGGTCTTGGTCCGGTTGCAGTGGCCATGTCTGAGGCATTGGGGTTGGGCCGTGAGTAAAGGAGGCCCCGGGCGTCCGTCATTGTCATTGCCAACATGACCAGGAACTTGGAGAGACTAGTAGTCAGCTAGACATAGAACCAGGACGACTCGGCCGAGAAGCTATCCAGGTTGGTGTCTGCCCCGGACTTTATGCCCGGTCCTCTAGTCGCTCCTAGTGCAAGGCTTGCGTAGCATTGCGCTTTCTTCCCCGCGGGGCGGTGCTTCTCCTCTGCTCCTAGTTGCCGTCGTGGGAGATTGTCCGGCGGGTGCAAATCCCCCGTTTGTGCTTGAGATGGCGGGGATGGCTAGTGACTGGGTGATGAGCGCCGGGGAGCGGACGAGGGTTGGTTGGCATGCTGGCGAGGGAGCAGTGAGTGGCTGCAAGGGGGACGACTTGGTTTTGTGGTGTTGGTGTTTTATAGGAACAAGGTTGTTTCTCGTTGTGGTAGTGGTGGATGGGCGCGACAGACGGTTGTGCCATGGGCTCACACTTTGAAATACGAGTAGGAGGCCTGTCATGGCAGGATCGGTTTGATGTCGGATGCGCGTTTTACGTGTTTGTTATTTAATAAATGGCACTTCTGGCGAGGCTCTACGCTGAGCTGGGAGCACGGCCAGACGTGGTTTGCGAGCACGAGCGCCTTGTATAAGACGGCGCGTACGACCGTATGGTAAGTATGGTATGGCTTTCTATACGCAGCCAAGTCAACCACCTCGTGAGCATGTCAGCCACTATAAACCTTTCCGCCGAGCGTCGTCTTTGCGCGGACGCGAGTTGGCAGGTGAGTAATGAGTTCCGCGCCGAGGCAGTTTTCAAACAAGAGAGTGGGAATGTCGTCCATTTAGACTAGCTCGATCGACTAGTTCCAAGCCTGCGTCCCTAGTTGTGCTACCGTGGTTCCTTGTGCGACGTGGCCCGGCAGGAATCACGCCATGCTTTGTGGACCGGGGTGTTTGCCATGATATGTATATTTGCCTACTCGGTCGCCTTGGCGCCTCTATTCATGCCGTCTGTAATGAATGGAGTAAACAGTACAAGATGGACATGGAATACGGACTGCATGGCAATGGTGGTGGGTGAGAGGGTGTTTCTCAACGGGTTGGACGGTCGTGTTTACCAGCATGCCATGGGTTGCCAGGGTTCTGTACAGACTACAATAGCCGGGCTGTCGGGGATTTATTTAGACACGAAAGAGGATCTAGACTGATTCGGAGAAAGCGTATGTACATACAGAGCACATCTAGTATCGGAGAGAAACCCTGCCGCGGCCAAGGGCCAAGTCATCAGGCAGCCAGCACATACATCAAGTACATGGATGGACTTTTACTACGAAGCCCCAGCGGAAAGAGCGCCGGGATGCCCTTTTCCCTCTCAAGCGCTGTTTTGCAGTATTCCAACCCCCCTAAACTACTCAAGTATGTAAACTATCCAGGTACATGGGCAATCGCTCGCAAAGGGAGTCGTCGGCGGCCAGTCCAAGTCATGGCACCACGGCACCATTTCCAACATTGGCAACGCCGAGCGACACCGTCATGGCAAGCACATGAGAAAGTAGCACAGCCCGGCCCCCAACATGATGAGAATCGACCAACAGCCGGGCGCGCAGCACCGCATCGGCAATGGGCGACGCAGGACACACACAGCCACGAGGGCTGCCAAAAGACGCGGCAGCACGCCCCCTTTCGTGCACGTCACCAGAAAACCTACATGCGTGTGTACTGGGCGATTCCGGCATCACGATGCAACGGAAGACTTGGGGGGCGGCCCCCGTCTGCAACCTTTGTGCCGCTCCAAACAAGATTTATGCAGTTGATGGACATGTATTAGAAGTATGTACGTATGTAGAAGTAGTAGCCGGCCAACACGCCCATGTCGAGCCGTTTCGGACACGGGCTTCTCTGTTCGCTCGGCCCTGCAGACAACGGCATGTGCGTCATGTGAGTGAGGCATGGGCGTGGTTGGGCCCTCGAAGGGGGTTTCATCGCCGGCTGAGACCCTTGCCCGGCGGCGATTCGCCTGCCACGGCCACCCTGCCCGCCCGAGAGACAGCAGAAGTCTAATTTGATGGGCCGCATGCCAAGGGAGGAGGGGAGGGGAGGGGAAGGGGGAAAGGGTGGTGACAGGGTGACAGGGTCGCTAAGGGGGAGTTGTGCTCTGCGGTCCCGACGATGCGGAATCAACAGCACCCGAGCTGTGCCTGAGAGCCCATCGAGTCTGTGAGCACATACATTGTACAGTATGTACGCGAGTCCTCGTCATGACAGCTACGAGACGCATCGAGCAATCGACGCCTTCCATGACGGCGACGCCTCGTCCGGTGGCCCCGCCGGGGAAAAGACAATGTCCAGCCCGGCCCTCTCTGCTGCGATGCTCACGCCTTTCCAAGGGGACTGGCGCGTATTGGGGCACCGTGGTGATTTGAGCTTTCTCGAGTCGTCCGGCCAAAGAAAGGCCAACACACGATGCAGCCGTCAGCCACGACGATGCCCCCCCCCGTGTGGCCGGTTGGCTTCTGGCTTCCACGTTTCTCGGCCGCGCCCTCCGCCAAAGCACATGGGGCCAGCTCTTCATTTTAATCCATTTGCTTGGCACGAGGGAGGAGGGGGGGGGTGGGTGGTGGGCAGAAGAGGAGACGGCCAAACCGGCGGGACCTTAATAATGCAACACATGTTTATACAGCGGCTTGCCGTGCGAGTCCGCGGCTCCCCAAGGTGTCCCGCGGTTAATGCGAGAGAGAGAGGGCGAGACGAGGACACCGTTTTTTCCGTCTCCATACGCCGCAGCCTCCGGCCAAGGAAAAAAAAAAGAGACCTACTTAATAGATGGATCGAATTCCCTCCCTCGGGCCCCCTCTTCTTTTTTCTTGGTTCTTGTTCGCCTGACATGGCTGGGTGTTTCTCGGTCCGCTGTATGCGTCTTCCCTTTTTACTCGTCTCTTTGTGATAAAGCGGCGTGTTGTTACAAGTGCTCTTTGATTCTGGTTGGAGCCGACGTAGCGTCGACTTGCG